ACTTCCTAGCTCATAGTGTGTATATATAGCTAATACTAATGTAGGTCAATGCTCATGTTTGGGTTTCATCTGATGGTAGATAAAGTTTGATCAAATATCTTTAAACTCCAGACTGCTGCCCTGAGTCTCATTATTTCGTAATCCGTTGTCTTTTCAGTCCCTGATTCATAGAGAAGCGGTGAACTGATGAAAATGCTGCAACCCAGCAGGACGACATTTAAACGTCCCACCCAGAGAGTGAACTCAGGGGGAAATGACTAAAGTGTGAAAATTGGTATCACCTTTTTGTGAAGTGAGCAATGATTGGATGTAATTTAACCCCTTAACACCATTTCTCTGTATCTCATTCTATTAATGCAGCAGCTGTCACCAACACAGCCCAGCCTGCTGAGCCTAAGGTGAGCATGTTTCTGAGTTTTAACAAATGTGTGCTAAACAATAAATGTGATTGGTAAATTAATAAGTGTTCTGTTTTGGTCTTGTGTAGGAGCCTGAGATTCAGGAGCCTGAGGAGAAACCATGTCCGCCCAGCCCGACACCCTGTCCTGAGGAGCAGGAGGACATGGTGGTAGATGAAGCTCAGCTCGACTCTGTCCCGGCTGTCGATCCCGTAGAAGAACCGTCTTCTTTCGCTCCTGATGGTTTTGTCTTCCAGGCTCCCAATGGATTGTCGTCCTTTAAGTTTGAGCCGCTTACTCCGCGATCAGCGGACGCTTTCCTCACACCGAGGTGTGTTTGTGTGTGATATCCCTCTCTCTTTTAATTTTTAAACAGTTTTGTTAAGATATTTAGAACACTGGAGAGCTTTTCTGTTCTTATTTTGTTTCATTCCAGCTCAATATGGGTACTGGAGGTTTATTTCAGACGGGCTACTTAAAAACTAAAGATTGTAAGATTAAAACTTCCATTCTTCCTGTACAGCTCCAGCTTCAATGTCCCAGCAGCCCCCTCGTTCAATGAGGAGCCTCAGGCTGAGGCAAGCGAACCGTCTCCTCCTAAATCCCCTCGCCGCTCTCCTCCTCGTTCATCTCCAACAGCGGCCCCTCCCTCTCCAGTTAGCTCGCTGGAATCCAAGCATGACGTTCCATACTTCAGGTAGCTTATCTTTAAAAAAAATTTAAATACACGTTTTCCTAAACATCTCACACAGCACGTGTGACTAAGATGCCGTTTTAACCAGTATCTTTTTATTTCATTACCATCAATAAATATGCTGCAGTGCATATAAATAATCCATACACATTACAAGTGTGAGGAAAAAAACACTGAAGGAATAAAAAAGAGAAACACATGTATTGCCAACCTGCAGTACCTTAACAGCCCCAAGGGGGGTGTGGCCAAAAGTCATCAAGACCCCTTTGCTCAACTATTTTTGTTTTTATTCAATTCCAAGTTTTAAGATTATTTTGTTATTAATTGTGAATGATTCAGGTCAGAAATATCCAATGAGACCAACGGACTGACGACGATGAGTGAACACTGGGAGCCAAAAGTGGAGGATGAATCCATCCCAGAGGAGAGTGAGTGTGCACAGTGACGTCCTAAATGTGTGGCTGTATCTTATTAACTTAAGAACGTGTTGGTGAACTGTGTGTGTGATGTATTTCTTTCTCTGGTCTGTTTAGTGAGAGACACTATACGTACAGTCGTCGGCCAGGCGAGGCTGCTGATGAAGGAGCGCTTTAAGCAGTTCAGCGGTCTGGTGGATGACTGCGAGCTGGGCCGAGGAGAGAAGATCACAACCTGCTCCGACCTGCAGGGATTCTGGGACATGGTGTACTACCAGGTGAGCGCCTCATTAATGAGGAACAAGTTGGTGTGTCAGACACAAAACAAAAGATAAGCTGGAGGATAATTATTGTATTTGTTTTACAACGTTCTTCAGGTAGAAGACGTCAACAAGAAGTTTGATGCTCTGAAAGAAGCAGAGATTCGAGGGTGGGTGGAGGAGCACAAGCCGCCACCGAGACAGAGGAAAGTCGTGAAGGTGAGGAAAATAGACCTTTTTTTAAAAAAAACTTCATTGTAAGCCGATGCTCGCTTTAAAAGGCTTTAAATGCTTTTAAAAAAAAATCATCCAGCAGATGTCGCCCTTGAGCACCAGCATGAAACCAAAACAACTTGCGCTGCATTGTTGTGTTAGCATGCTAATGCTAGTGATCTTTATTATGCTCGTATCTTCACACTGCATGTAAATTTACCTGAAATGAGCGTGATCTAGAAACACAGTTAAGCAGTGAGTACAGTATGTTATTCTTCTTTTCTCTAGTCCCTCAATTAAACAACTTTTATACGTGAGGGGAGGAGTCAGCCGGCCGTCCCGGCGATGTAAACAAAGTGAAGATAGGACTCTGAAAACATCACAGACAGTGGGACTCGGGTGTTACACCCATTGTAGACAGTCATGACTCACAGAGTTATTTTCAGAGGATATACTTGATTTATATTATATTTAATTGTGAAACATCACATATAAAGCCTTTAAAGAGGTCATATTATGCCCTTTTTGGGGTTTGTATATTTAATGTATGTACCTCCTAAAGTATGTTCACAATAGCTAAAGTTTTAAAAAAGTGTCTGTTTTCATGAACTGCCGCTCCATGCACCGGCTCGCTTCTGACTCTCTCTCTAAGGCTCTGAAGTGCCCACGTTCAGAGTCCCCACGTGTGCCAAGTCTGATCTGATTGGTCGGCCTGTCGGCTCTGCCTTAATTGGTCAGTCACTACTACTACTACTACTTAGCACTACTGTGCTACGGCAGGCTATGGCATATCGTGGGCGTGCTACAGAAGTTAATGAGCTGCAGGGCTTGCAACAACGAGCCAATAGGCTTAGATCAGTGATCTCACACTGACAAATTTTATCGAGGGGGGCTAGAACCGAGTGTTACATGCAGCTAATGCTGCAGCTAACAGGAGGACGTAGGAGAAGCTGCGTTTCCACAGACTTTTTGCACATAGATGTGCCTAAACATGCACAGGACACTTGGAAAACACACTAAAGGCATATAAAACCAGAAAAAGCATAATATGGAACCTTTAAGAAAGCAGGTTATTGTGCGTTTACTCAGTTTTAGTGTCATAGTGTGAATTTGAATCATTTGTTCCTGTCTTTTCTCAGAAACCGGCAGCTGCACCTGCTAAGCCTTCAGGAACCAAAGCAGCAGCTAAGTCTCGTCTGGCTGCCATCAAGGCAGCCATGAAAGCCAAGCAGCAGGCAGCTGAGGCAGAGAAAGCTGCAAAGGATGCTGGGAATAATGATGACAACCTGAGTCAAAAATCTCAGGAGCCTCAAGCAGAGGCCAACCAGGCTGACACCATGGTGTTTGATGGAGGCTTTTTCCAGGTGGAGAGCCCAGCCAAACTACCAGGTATGGGAAGGATTTTTATTTAGCTGTTTTCCCCCCCTTTTTTCAGCTCCAATGTTCCGACCTTAAAACTGTGTCATTCATATAATCATATCTGTAGGTTCAGTGAGGAGATCCAGTCGTCTCAGTGCCACCGTGCTCCCTCAGGCCTCGCCCTGCTCCAACTTCCTCTCACCCAGGAGAGTCACTCGTCGATCCATGGCTCTGGCACAGACCCCTGTTCCCGCCACCGCTGCCTCTCCTGCTAGGCCCGCTCACACTCCCGCCCACTTCTGTCTCACCCTGGAACAAACACCAGCACAAGTGTCTCAGAGAGGGACTCCTCGGTCGTCTCAGAACAGAAAGAACTCTGTAAATGTCTCACTCTGCTTCACACCCGTCAGGGAAGTTCTGTCAGATGTCGCCCCCCAGCCTGAAGCAAGCCAATCAGAAACAGTCTCTGTGAAGGAAAGCACGCCACACCTGAACCTCCACTTCCATCTATTTTTGTAGTGGAGCAAGAAGAACCAGCTGACACAGTCAATAGTGAGCTCGCTTTTTCTCCAAGACTCTCCCTCTCTCTGTGCAAAACCCCTCTTCGGTCCCCGAGGCCCCTGAGTCCTCATCGTCTCTGAGCTTCACATTGTCACCCTGTGAAACTCCCAACAAGCCACCCACCTCCTCCCCTCCTCCTCCTGCTGTGGAGGCCCAGAACTCTGTTTGTCAGACTCCGGACAGCTCGGTTATCGAGGTAAAACACATTTTCTACCCTTTCTAGAATGCCAATTAAAAAATTTTAATTAACACAATTAAAAAGGTTTATCTAGCTTTAAAACAAAAACGTTTTCTTACTTTCAGGAGATCACCGGTTTGGACTTTGAGCGTTACCTCCAGCCTACAAACAGATGCAGCGCATCTCCAGGGGAGGTGATTGCTGTTTTCACTTTCACTTTGAAATAGTTTTTCTTTTAACTCATGATCAAAAATGACAATTACTTATACAATTTCCTTGCATTGTTGAATAATCGTACTTTATTTTGTGTTTCTGGATCTTTCAGGTCAAGTCAGCTGAGTCTGAAATGCTCCTCTTCACCCCGGACCTGAAGGATCGGATACGACAGTCTGTCTGTCCAAGTGACCTCATGGTCTTTACACCGCCCCTCTAAAGTGTGGCTAAGAATGTTTCTTTAAAAAAAAAAAAAATATCTCTCTTTTTGTATCTTACGATATCTGATTTTATTCTTTTATTTTAGATGAGTGGACAATAGTTTGTCTTACAAGATGTTTATTAAAGTTTTAGTTCCAACAGTAAAATGACAAATGCTCTTCTTTTACCTCAAAGCACAAATCCAGCACACACTCAGTTTGTTTTGTTAAACACTTTATTTCAAAGATTGTCCGTTTAAGTAACAGTTGGCTTCTTCCTGAGCTGATTTAGGTTTTTCTGAGCCTTGATGCTTCTTCTAACTGTAGCACAACACAGAACAATAGTTCATTACACATCGTGTCTGAAACACAGTGAGTCATTGAGTAGTGGGGTGATTTTAGATCGTGGTTTAAAGATGCCCCCTGGTGGATGTATTTAAACATAAGAAGTTGAGCTTGGTTTTTAAAACAAACTGTTAACATTGTAACATTGAGCCAGTACGGCTGCTCACGCTTTAGCTAAGTCAGCCTTAGATGATAGGAAGATGTTTGTACAGAGTCTTATTTTGCATCTTAGCCGGGACTCGTAGAAGTGAACTTCCTGGCTGTCTCCTAGACTTCGGCCAAAGCGATGCCTCCTCTAGTTCTCCTTGCAGAGCGTCTCTTCCTTCATGTTTTTGGACACTAACTGGTCATGTTCATATGCCGGGAAGAAAAAGTGGTTGAAGAACTGATGGACTGTCTGTCTCCAAAGCTCCTGATCATGACTTTTGTCCTCCTCTCTTCTGGTTTGCTTTGCCTTCTTTTCCTCACTCCTCTGCTTGTCTGAGTGAACAGGAGGAAATATGTCACATGTTATATAATTACTTCATACATTGTTCTTTCTACCTTATACTTGTTTATGTCTCTCAGTCCAATTTATAAAATCTATTTCTGACTACAAATTATGTGTCACTATTTGAAAATGAAATCCCTCAACAGTTAAACAATATAATACAAATATGCATCTACATGAGTTAAAAGAACCAGAAGAATAATAAAAAAAAATGAACCTTCAGATGGAAGTTTGCTGTTTCTTCAGTCTTGACATCTGGTCGACTCTCGGCTTCTTCAGCAGCTGATGATCCTTCAGGTTTTCCTGACTAGGATGAGATTAAAATATAACTATTCAACGAATAATAAACCAGAAGATTACTGAGGAAAACTTTATCAGGAATGTCTTCTCAAGAGTTTCAGATGTGCTGAGTCAATAAATTCTGTAGAAGCCCGCCTTGTTGCCTTCTGCTTGTAACTTCATAAAGACAAAAAATATTGATTGACAGTAAAACTCCTAAAACAACAAAGTTTGTGATGGGACTTTTGCACATTTTAAATCTGAACATATATTTGTAGCTTTTTGATTAATTTCAAAGAAAAACAAATGAACCTCCACTAGAACAATTTGACTGCAAATAATTGTTTAAGGTTTAAGGCCATAAAAGACCCTTGAGAGGTTGTGATGGGCTGGGAAGGGCTGTTTGTAGTCTTTACCATGTTCTCTCCAGCCTCCAGCTTTAGGTCTCTCCTGGCCTCTGTGTCGGGACTTAACGATGACGGCCCTCCTCCTCCTCCAGGCCGACACAAACCTGCTGACACTTCACCTCAGCAGAGCCCAGAAGCACCTCAAAAAACTCCAGGAAGGTTATCTGATGTAGGAAGTGTTGGAACAACAAACGTTACTCAACGGAGGGGGAGGGGATACATAAAAGGAACATGTGTGTGTAGGTGTAAACACTCCAGACGGACCTCCAGATCCAGACAGGAGGAATAGTTGCTGGGGTCATTGCTCTCTGAAGTGATGATCTCCAGTAATTTCTCGACTGTCAGGTTGTTGTCCAGCAGATGGAGATCCTGTATGGGGTAGCAATGTGCAAATCATCATTATGCCTTCAAACTGATGATGGGAAGAAGCTGTTTCTATACAGGGCTATCTTCATGCTCGAGTCATTGCACCTTGAAGATCCACAGCAGGTGTCTGCAGGTCATGGTCTGCTCGTCTCTGGGGGCTGTGAAATCTTTGCAGTAAGCCTGATAGATTTCCAAACATTTCTGAAAGTAGTTCAAGGCCACAACTGCACAGTCTGGCTGCCTGAACAGAAAACCTGCAAAAACACAGCTGGAGTTAACAACTGCAGTTATTACTGTATATTTATGTGTGTTATCCCTCAGACAAAATATATAAAAAATAAAAATAAATCAAGCAAAGATTGAGTAAAGGTTTTAATTACAAACTATTAATTGTTTTTTATTCATTATTCAGATGTTTTTTTTAGCACTTTAACACCTTGTTACACTCAATAAAATACCTGTTTTTTTTCTTTCCATAGTTCTAAAATTAGTTTAATTCAATTGTATTTTTATAAGACATTTCAAACAAACATAAACTCAATGTGCTTTACAGAAAACAAAAATAAACAAACACAATACAAACATATAAAAAACTAAACAAATAGATTCAAAACACATTTAGAAAAGGAGCCTGCACCATCCAATACAACACACACACACACACACAGGGAAATAAAGCAGCAACAAATGAGTTAACATGTTTCTGTCATGCAGTTTGTGTGTGCACAGGACTTTACAACAGATTATTGTTCACACCTTTTAAAGTCTTGGCATTAGGAAGGATGTTGTCCGTCATCAGTTTAGAAAAGCAGGCAGCCAGAAGGTTCTTTTGCGACCTGCAAAAAGACAAGAAGGGATGTTTGTCTTCTCCAAAAATGTTATAAACAACCAGTGATAAACTGACCAGTGATAAACAAAAGCTTTTATTCTAATAGTGTCCTCAGTTGTTCTCTGTCCCAGTATTGATATTTCAATGAAAGCAAATCTAGCAACATATAGGACCCAGTCGGAGCTTTTATGACCTCCACAGCTGCTGAATGAATGGAAACTTTACGTGGGATTTGCCTAGCACTGAGAGCATAAAAATACAATAAAAGTGACAAAAGACGAGGTAACCATATACCGGACAGCACATAAAAACCAAATCACAATATACATCATTGAAGCATCACATGATTTAAAGTAGCAAGTTCAATAAAGTGCAGAGTGCTAAGTTCATACTGTATGATCAGAGCTTGTTGAGCAGCTGAATGCTGAGTGGTACAAAGGATGTAATGCCTCTTTTAGTCCTTGTAATCTTGATGGCTAGATTCAGAGTCTACTGGTCTGTCAGGTCAGAAATGCTGCACATTTGCTTCCCAGTTAACTTGCTGCATGGTTCAACAACCTTGTCCAGTTTGTTCTTATTTTGTACAGACAATTCACTTCTCCTCTCCAACACTGAATACAAAAGGTCAACACACAAAGTTATTGGGATTTATCCTGAGGGACACATAAAATATGTTCAACAAGTCCAGTCAATCCGATAGACAATATCTAGTTTTCTCCTCAAACTCACAAATAATATACTGTATAACCACTGAAGTAAAGCCACGGGATCACCACAGTAATAAGGATGCATCCTCTGGGGACCAGCAATGTCTAGATAAGATGTTTTATCTAGACAAGAGATACAAACATTTCTCCTACAGGCAAAGATTTGTAATAGTTCCTTACATCATTTCCTTATGGTAGATGTGGTAGGACACAACCACGAGACAGCTGAGGAGCCCATGAAGAAGAATGGGAGTGAAAGGAGAGTGTGGCCCTAATGCACTGAAATCTGTTTAGACACACAGGGAGTAAAAACAACATACTGTAAGTGTGAAGCTTTGTCTGCCCTGTCAGCGAACAAAGAGAATTAAAGAGGAGAGTTAAAGAGTACCTCTCACCTCTGATCAAACGGTCGATCTGTGTCAGAGTGATGCCTCGATGGTGAATGTAACAGTCTTTGAACAGACGCCAGAGCTGCAGGCGGGTCAGCAGGAAGGTGTTATCAGCAGAGTGAGCCTGGCCGAGTCTGCTGTAGAAACTGTACACCGACCTGAGCTCTGTGGCCAGCATCAGCACCACAAACTCCACCTGTTACACATGAGACGCACAATCAGCTCAGAAACACAACGGGGAAAATCAAAAAAAACCGACGCATCTAAACTTCTTCTGCTTCAACTTATTTTAACCAACTTTTAAACCCAGTCTTTAGAGTGAATGCTCTGCTTTAGTTTGTCTTCATTTGATGTATTTTAGGTACTTTTTTTTTTCGCCATCTTGGGCAAGGACTACAAAAAAAGTCTTTTTGAATAACTCTGCCATGTTAATAGCATAATGTTACTGTTGAATGAACTAAACTGAAGTGGAGGAAGCGTCTTTATGTCATTGCATTGTGCATTGTCTGTGCTGCCTCTTCTTCAACAACAGACATGGCAAGTACCACTATGACCCACAATGTCCTTGTGGTTTCACATCTTACTGAGAGAATAAAACACATTAAGTAATGCAGAGCAATCTGTCTTTAGGGTTGTCTGATTATGTTTAAATATGTTTTTCTTTGTAATGAATCTGAGAGACCCTGCAGCAGTTACCTTTGACTCTAATGAACCCTTGTTTCCTCCAAGACAGCTAAAGCTAAATTGTAAATCGTGACCATTTAAGACCATAAATGGAACAATAAAAGTACCTTGGGGATAAGACTTGTGTAAATCAGTGTAGTGATACAACAGAAAACTCAAAGTACTTGGTCTTTTTCGATCAATAAAGATCAATAAATATGTCAATAACAAGAAGAATCATTTGCACATTAACAAAAACATTTTTTTGAACAACATGCTTTTTTAAAAAAAATGTCATTGTAATCTGAATAAACACAGATATGTGAAAGTGGGATTTTTGTTCTCCATTAACTTCAATATAAGCAGAGCTAAAGTCTGGCAACAGAGCAGCAATCAGACAATATGACCCTTCCTTCTTTTTTAAGTTTCTTTGGTGAAAATTAGGAAATGGAAAAAAGATCACACATGATATATTAAAGGGGGTGAGGAGAGACCTGACCTGTCCCCGCTCAGCTTCACTGTTTCTCTCTGGGATCTTCTCCAGAAGACGATGAATGTTCAGAGCCATGTCTGGTCCTAAGATCGTGGAATCAGCGCCTGGCAGGGGGGACGGACCTTAAAACAAGATTAAGGATTGTAAGCTTTTGGTACCAGACTCTGGAACTATGAATGCTCTCCTTCATGAGAGGCTGAGCATTTTTTTCAAATAGAGTTCATGTATTGTGTCTGCTTACCACAAAAAGGGGTGGGAGCTCTTTTTCCATTCACGATATCTGTCATCATCTGATCGTTCACAAACTCTCCTTCAAAAACACGCCCATCCTTATATGTGAATTTTCCCTGTGAAACATAAGCAACACATTGCATTCAGATGTTCTGATACTTTACTGACATAAACAGAAGGAAAATAGTTTAGATTCAAGATTCAAGATTTGTATTTGTCACATGCTCATGCAGATGTGCAGTGAAATGTAAAGACTGTTCCACAAGGCCATGCAATAAACACTCAAATTACTAATACACATAAATATACAGTAATGTAGAAATATAATGTAAAATTAAAAAAAGAAATATTTTAATATACAAAATGTAGAATAATGTAAACAGTGTAAAGTGTCCAGGGTGTCAAAGTGCAACGTGCAGATTAAGCTGCTTGCATATGTTTTTTTCAATGTGTAATACTAATAACTAATAATAATAGGAGTATTGCACCTTTTATTTCATTTTTTTTTTTTCCGTTTTTTTGACAGTGATGTATTTCTGGATGAACAATATCTTAAAACTCAACATTTAAAAAAAACAAAAAATACAAATTCCTGAAATGTTTGTATGTGAGCATATTGACTCACCTTCCCATGCTTTTTATTGTCCCTCCATTCTCCTTCATAGATGGCTCCACCAGCGTATTTAAAGGCCCCCTGCCCGTGCCTCTGACCATGAACAAAGTCCCCAGTGTACTGGTTGCTCTGGGTGTACTGGGATCCATCTGCTCGCCTCAGGATCCAGGTGTGTGTGCCTCGTCCATGCTGCAAGAGAATAGTGCTCACTCCATTCACAACAATCTTATCTCGCTTTTGTTTGTATTGAGGGACTTTTGAATTGGGGTCATTTTCAATACAACATGATAACTCTGTGTGTGAATTCAAACCTGGATTCCATTCTGCCACATCCCAACATACTCCTCTCCCAGTTGTGTCCACCTCATCTTGCCTTCCCCATGTCTCAGGTTGTTCTTCCACTCACCAGAGTAAATGTTACCAGAGGGGTAGCTGCCGGTGAAACACAGATGTACCCTCTGAATACATGCTCATGCTGCAGATGAGGTCATGTACACAAGTAATCAAAACATACCATCTCACTCCACATCCCTCTCTGTTGTTCTTCACCCAGTCTCCTTTGTACCAAGATGTCTTATCCCGGTTGTAATACACTTCACCCTAACACAAAGATAAGCAATTTAAATATAAAACTCCAAAAGAAAGAAAATAAAGATGTAAATGAGTGGATCGCACCTTTCCATGCCTCTTGCCTTGGTCCCACTGCCCTATGTATGACACTCTGTTTGTTGCACATGTGTAAGTTCCAGTCCCATGGCGTATACCATAATATACCTCCCCCTATAGGAGCTGCCGTCAGGCCAGGTGTAGGTGCCCTCACCCAGGGGCTGGTTGCAGACAAATTCTCCCTGTTGGGATAAGAAATTTACCTCATGCTTTATCAACCCATATCAACCTTCTCATGTTATAATTTTTCAAATGTTATCATCCTGCTGAAGTTCTGTTTTTAACATACAGGATGCATGTTTTTAAATGTGATGTATAAAAAGCACTTCAATTCTAAGCTTGATCCAAAGGCAACTGGACTAAACTAACTGGGGGACCGAGCTAGAAATGTGAGCCTCTGTGGATCATGAGCATGATCAAGGATGACTCACATGAGAGTCATTAACTTAGAGTCATTAACTCCTCCAAGTCATCTGTGGGTCGTTGGGGTCACATCTTCAAGATCTTCAACCAAGTCCAGTTGCCTCTGGATCAAGCTTCAAATTTACCATGACCTGGATGACTGAGGACCTACACAGACGGCACTTTAAAATGTAAATCATTAAGCTTATAATAGCGGCATTTCTCATTTCTGTGCCCTACCTCATATTTCACGCCACCTGCCCATGTGAACACACCTCGTCCATCCATGAGTCCCTTGGCAAACATCCCCTTTAGAAACAACAAGCAGTGACTTAAATATGTAGTTTTGTTCATAGTCATGCAAAATGAAAAGTTGATACACATTTCTGGTGCGTTTGCAGAATTCATTTCATTGCATTTGAGGAACAGATTTATATGTTATATATTTTTTCTTTCCACAACCAGTTACATGTAAATAAACATTAGAAACAAGCATAATGTAGTTTCAAATAATAATGATGTATAATATGTAGGCTAGCCATTGAAATATCTAATAATTTGTATATTTTTATTCTTATTAAAGTTATAGTGTCAATACTTGTTACATTTTTATGAACCTATAAGCAAATCATAATTCGCTAAATGTTATACTGTAGGTTAAAACAGTCATAAAGTATGCATTTAGTGTCTTAAGTGTAAAATCAAACTTGTCTTTCTTTAATTTATGGTGTTATAAACATTTAGGCTACCTTGTACAAATGTCCTCCTTCAAAACAAGCGAGCCCTTCTCCATGAAACTGTCCTTCACAGGTTTCCCCTTCATATCTGACAGTGACACACAGGACAGGATATTATTAACCATGATGTGACTATACAAAAACAACTTAGTAACGTTACTGTTGTGAGTTGTAGTTCACCTCTGCACAGTTAAGTTAATAAGGGAGGGGAGTTCATGAATATCGTGTTTCTCGGGCTGTTCCTCCTCCGCTGAATTCAAACCTTCAAATCTGCTCGACGACCTTTTCTTTTCTCTCCTCTCCTGTGCTCTTTGTGTCTCTCCTTTCATCGCACATTTCTTCTTTTCCTTTCTGTGTGTCATTTTTCGCCATATAGTAATCTCGTGTCAACCATGTCTCCATAGCAACGGAAAGGGACGCCGAGCTACGGAAACCTTAGTCAGCCAAAAAGGGTATTACCGTCATTCTGTTACTACAAAATAGTCAAGTGTTGCTCAAGCAGTAGACCATGCTAGATTTTACATCAGTTTTTATTCACTCTACACCACCAAAGCGAAGAGGAAGATGTTTTTTTATTCACTTTTCTTTGCTGGCAGCTTTAGACAATTCCTAATGTTAGAAATAGGTGAGGCGGTGCTGAGACGGTGCTGGCCCGGCGGAGGTTCGGAGGCCATGATCCATAGCGTCTCCAGCATGTCATTCCCCACTCTCTTCTTGATTTCCTACCCTGGTCTGTCCGAATGGTGGCATAAAAAGCCCCCCAAAAAATTAAAATATATATATATATCACAACTAATCTTGACCGGTGAAAACCGCGAATTTTGTTCCCCCGCCCCCTACAATGCAGCAGAAACATCTGCAGCACAATACTACACAACTAAACAGATTAGGTTTATCTTTAGATAATTGAGGCAAATTTACTGCTAATAATTGACAGTGTAAAACAGCTGTAGTAGTTTAAATCAAGTGAAGCATCTCAATTCTTCTTTCAGCACTACATTTAACAGTAAAAATAGCAGATCGTTTCAGCACATGTTGAAAAATAGCTTATTTATTTCCCTCAGTAATGAGGTGTCAAACTAAAAACTGTTGGGATTCAAAATACAAATAAAATCAGAACTAATTTGAACATTGTATTGTAAAAAAAAAAAGACAGTAAACATTCAGTCACTGGTTTTGTTTAACAGAAATAAAGTGGAATGACAGTGTAAGACAAGAAACACTCTTCAACAGGTCCATCCTAAAGGTGCTCAGTCGGATGAGATCATGTCCAGGTTGGCGAGGTGTCTCATGGTGGGCCTGCCGTGAGGACAGTTCCATGGATGTTCAATCTCCCCCATGTGAACCAGAAGTTTCTTCATCTCACTGACGCTTAGAGCAGTGCCAATCATCACCTGAAGATGAGCATCAGCAAAACAAAAGATTATGTATCAGGACAAAAGTAACAGTATTTAAATACCTGTTCAACAAAACTAATTTCACTTATTTGAAAAAGTAAATTACATTTCAGATCACTTACATTTTAGACTTCTATCCTTTTATTTCAGCCAATGTTTATTTTCAACAAAGTCTTTTTTTAAGATATCTACACGCTAGGGATGGGACATAATATTGATGCGGCATTATAAAGTCGTCCTGACTCGTGTGATACATCAATCGAATCACTGGTGCCAATTCATTTTAATCTTTCAAAAAAGAAAGAAAATGGCACTCTGGAGAGATTTCTCTGCTAATTTGACTCATCCTGTCACTACCTCATGACTCCTCACGGTGGCGCTTGTTAATTTAATAATGGTAATGCAAACTGAAGTTAATTGGACAAAAAATAAGTAGACAGAGGGTTAGATAAATGAAAGGAAGACAGCTGGATAATGTCTGACAGCAGTGAACAGAAGTAAAGATTTGAAGCATAATAAGAAGTGAAACTGACTGTAAACTACAGTGAAAAAAAGAAAGATTAATTCTTCACAATACCATTTAATCATCATTATGTTTAGCAAAATATCAATTATCCCAGAATCGCTTTATTGTGATATTATCCTTATTATGGGCAACATAATATATCGTGTATTGTGTATCGCATCGTATGGTATTGAATTGTGAGTTACCCTGCGATTCCCAACCCTGATACACATGTGTTATAATCAATTTGACAATATTTTTAAAATGGCTATTTAAGTAAACAACAAATAAGTATAACTTTTATTAGAATAGAATATTTGTGAAATGAGTGTGAACTCACAGATTTTCGACACGCTCTGGAGGCAAACATCTGCCTGACGCGCGACGGTCGACACATGACTCCTGGGCTGTCACTCAACATGAAGATGAGCTCCTCGATGTCAGGTGGGCCAAACGTCCAGTTTCTACTGGTGGGCAGAGACACCAGTTTAACCCGCTCCATCACCGGAGCTGCAGTCAGAATAATAAAAAAAAAAGTTACTTTAATATTTCTTATCTTCAAAATGTAAAATAACTGTTTCAAGCTGGATATTAAATCAGATCATACCGTCTTCATCGATTAGAAATTCAAAGCCGTTCTTCCTGAATATCTCTATATTCTCCATCAGTATATTTTCACTCACAGCCGTAAGGTGGAGCTTCTGAGGGCTAAAATTACAAGAAAAAAAGCAGATCAGTAACGAGCCATTTCTGAAATTATAAAGGTAAATTGAACAAGCAGTTTGAGATTTTTACACTATGAGTTTCTGTCCTTGAAGCACGTTGTGCTGCTGCAGCATCTCAAAGTTGTATTTCTCGTCTGTTGCATGCTGGTCAATCATGAAGATGTCAGAGTTGAGTTTGGTGATGATGAAGCCGAGGTTAAACTGACCAATGATCTCCATTTGTTTGAACATGTCTTTACTGAAACAAAGATCATCTTCTGTTAAGGAATCTTTAATCTTAGCAGGAAGTTTAACCAGTACTAGTTATATGATTAGATTTCTACCTGATCTCTTTACTGAGCTCTTCTTCTGCACTTTGGTTTTCTCCGGGGTTGATCTTGGCCCTGAAGCGTCTGTAGCACAGATCTGTGTTGCTCCTCTGTTTCTGTTGGTCCTGTAACCTCTTCAGCTTTCCCACCAGCTCCTGGAAAGAGAACTGGAGCAGTACTGTCCTCCTCTGCAGGGAAACTGGAGCATCCACTGTGGAGGAGGAGGACCGCTCTGAACGGTTTGAAAGACTGTTTGATTTGGGTTCTTCAGCCAGATGTGGTTCCTCTGTCCTGGCCCTCTTTGCATCTGGGCTTATGGACGAGTCCTTTGAAGTGCAAGGCTCGATCTGTACCTCCAGGTCTTCAGAGACAGAGTGAGTTTGGTCGATTGTTTCTTCAAATGTTTCATTTTTTACAGTGGCGGTGTTGGTGTATGGTTCAGGAGACTGTCTATGAGGGTCACTGACAGCACTGTCTTTTTCAGAATCTCCAGCACCGACTGACATCTTTCCATATTTGAACCCATCCAGCACCGACTTCCCCCCTGGCGAGCATTGAGCTGGTTCTACTGTGGCTTTCAAAGGAGATTTTGAACTTGAACCACAGGTAGAAGTTTGGACAGAGCCCTTGAAAAAAGTCTGCAAAGTTTTCTGTGTTGGACCACAGCTGGAAGCTTTCGCTCCACTCGACTTGTTCCCAAAACTGGAGCTGTGGTGACTTGAAAAAGCAGCTTTGAGCCCGGCCAGGTTTAGAGATGACTTTGGGCTCTGAACCACTGACTCCTTGTCGGCTCCACGTTCTTGCATGTTTTCATTAGGCATCACAACCTGACAGATATCAGAGGCAGACGTTGTTTCTAGAGAAAATAAATGGCAAGTGTTAAAAAAAAGCACTAGAATAAAACACACTATTTCTCATGAAAAAAAACCTGTCAGGCTACATAACCATATAAATACCCCATGTGTTGTTTAGTGGGTTAAATGCAATGATATGTTCTTTTTTGTTTAACAGTTTTTCAATTAGCAACATCAATGTACATTTGTTTACAACATACACTGCAAATATGTGTCCCAAAAACACAAAATGTAAAGCAATATATATATATAAAAAAATAAAAATAAAAAATAAATAAATAAAGGTCAGATAGTATAAAGAGAAGAAAGGAAGGAAAGAAAAAGGAGAATTATTTAGAGAAATAATAGTGATTAAAATAAATAAATAAATAGAAGAAAGGGGGGGGTACAATGCTATGTTCTTACTGGTGCCTGGCATGGGTGTAAAGTTCAGGCTGATTTTGTTGACTCCGGCCTCGTACATGTTAATAAGAGAGGTCTTAAGAATAGCCAGCAGGAGTTTCTCCTCCTGAAGGAAAACCTGTCGTTTGTCCGGGGTCACGTTCACATCCACACACTCTGAAATAAGAAAAATACAGAACAAAAAGTTCATGTAGGACAAAAAAAATGCTGAGTCTTTTAGAAATAACTTGAGATGATTTTCTCACCAGAGGCAACAGCTATGTTCAAAGCCACAAATGGATACTGATGTCTGTTGTACATATGATACACTTCATTCACAAGCTTGGTCACCTGCATATGACATCAACAACAAATTACAAATGGTCCTGAAGGCTGCTTACAACTACCTGTTCATTATAGAGTGCTGGATGTTTACCTTAAGAGGATCACATGGCCGGTTGTTTATGAAAAAGAACTGTCTGTCTGTGGCACTCCGCCCAACCCCATGGTCTCCTCGGGACACAAACCCTGTGATGCTACCAAAACAGTTTTACATTTATAATAAAAGACGTCCTTTGTTTTCAGAGAAGGCATGTTCATGTATTATAGAAAATGGTGTGACTCACGAAAACAGTTGTTTTGGGAGCTCTGCCTCTTTGAGTCCATATTCCTCGATAACATTTTCTGTCGGAGACACTTGCTGAAAAGGCAGCAGACTCTGTAGCTGCAGAAGAAACAATAAACATTTAAATTCCAACACTGAATTTACCAAACAAGTCAAACAAATTGACTTTGAAAACTGGTGAATTACTCAAATGCCAAAAAAGCACATTAATAAATCCAACCATTAATAATAATAAAAAAAGATTTGTTCTAGTGACATACTGTCGACACCTCCGACAAGAAAACATATTCATATTTTCATTTCATTGTACAGTGTTCCCCTTTGTTATTGTTTGTATTATATCTTTGTTTTAATACAGTGTATAGCTTCTGTACAGTTTATTTTAATTAACTTAGCTGTTACTATAACTTATTTATTTGTTTTATTTAGTACTTTTCTACTCTTTTTTTCTTATAATGCTATTCTATTTTATATATCATTTTAACTTTTTTGTAGAAGCTGACTCAGGGAGAAACACACAAGAATTCCAATGTACCTGTACTGTCCTGTACCTGTGCAAATGGCAATAAACATCTATTCTATTCTATTCTTTGTTCCATAAATAAATCGAACCATTAAGACACCTGTGAACGGAGAGAGTTTCAAACCTGTTTGGGTCCAAATATGGCTCCTATGTTGTCTCTCATGCTCTGGCTGCCGCCGGTGCTGAGGACCGTGCTGCGCTTTCCCTGCCCGTTCTGGTTGGAGCAAGTGATCCGCACTCCTGTGGAGATGATACAGTAGGACTGCAGGACATGTATCATTTTGGCGTACTCCTAAAAAAAATACAGAAAAAAAGATAGATATTTAGTATTAAAGTCATGGCACGGCAGTTGGATACTCTCAAAATTTCATGGGGACTTTAAAACTATTACAAAATGGGGTGCTGGTGGTGCGGTGCATAGTGCACGCTCCCCATGTATGGAGGCTTCGCTCCTTTAGGCGGGCGGCCCAGGTTTGAATCCCACCTGTGGCTCCTTTCCATGCATCGTTCCCTACTCTCTCTCTCTCCCCGATTTCCAACTCTATCCACTGTCCTATCTCTACATTAGAGGCACAGAAAGGCCAAAAATAAATCTTAAAAAAAAAAAAAAAAAAAGAACTATTACAAAATGGGGTCAGGAAGTCAAACCTTTAAGAAAACAATAAGGGACAAATGATCATTGAAAAACAAACAAAATAATGTTGCCATTGACAATCTGATATGTACCACTTCTTGGTTCCCCAGCTGACAACAACTACACCCTCTCTTTTACAGTTTAATAATATATAATAAATGAATAATCACTTTCACAGATAACTAATCCCAAGTAAGCATAAAGTTGTTGCAAGAAAACAAGAAAGTAGGAAAAATGGTCAGTCTGTAGGAACTTGAGTTGGGAATCGGAGGGTCGCCGGTTCAAGTCCCGGCACGGGCCAAGTCTGGAAGTTGGTCTGGTAGCTGGAGAGGTGCCAGTCCACTTCCTGAGCACTGCCGAGGTGCCCTTGAGCAAGGCACCGAACCCCAAAACTGATCTGGAGTGCTCGCTGTGGGCAGCTCCCTCACTCTGACACCTCTCCATTAATGCATGTCCATAGGATCCTGTTTGTGCATGTGTGTGTAGCATGTTCAATAGACAGAGTGTAAAACTGAATTTCCCCTTGCGGGATTAATAAAGGATAAGTTATTATTATTATTATTAAAAAAGCAATGAAATTCTTGACATTAAATGTCTGTGATTTCTTGTGACTGCTGAGAAACAGAACAATGATTCTTCAGTGACCTTCTTGATGTTACGATGGAACTCCTTGTGTCGAACAGGCAGGGTGTAGAAGAGCTGCTGCAGGCTGACGGTGGTGCCTTGCTGCCGGGGGTGAGGCGACTGCTGCACCACGTGGCCTTTATGGTCAAACACAAGCTTGGTCCCGACATGGCTAGACTCGTGACACGTCACCACACCCAGGTCACTGCAGCAAGCAAGGCAGAAGGGATTTAAGCAGGTGAGGAGTAATCTAATCTTATAGATCAAATGAAAGAGGCTGTTTAATGTGTTTTACCTCAGAGCACATAAAGAGCTGAGAGCTTCACCTCTGAAACCAAACGTTTCCACATGGATGAGATCAGAAAAGTCCCGAAGCTTTGATGTGTGATGCTTTAAAGCTGTGGAACAGACAGACCAAGTTTCACTCTCAGCACAAAGAACAGGAATAACTCTACAGACAAATTTGATAATAAGAATGCTGCCACTCACTCAATGCTTCAAAGTTAGCTTCTTCAACTCCTTTGCCGTTGTCTGACACTTCCACTAGTTCAGCTCCACACTCCTTCAGCCTCACATCTGAAAGAGGAGACAATGTGATACTGCTTTTCAATTCTAACACATTTCTTTATTTTACTGTGCCTGTAAGTGTTGGCCCCATGTTATTTAACGACGACAGGATGATTATGTTTCCAGCATTTTACGGCTGTAGCTCTTATTGGTGAAAGAAGGGATATAAACCTTATTGACAAACAGAGATCACCCTGTCACAGCTGTTTAGATGTGTTCAACTGTGTGTAGGGGTTGTTCACTGCTAAGTGAATTGTAGAATTAGAAAAAAAAACTATAAACTTTTAATCAAGAGATTGCATGCAAAGAATGATTTATGAGTGATTTGATTTTGTGATAAGTTAAATCATGACCATTACATTAGCAGTGTGCTATTCTTTCTTCAATATGAGACACTTTCACTTTAACAAAATCTGAAGGAAAGTGTGAAAACTGAAGAACAGACCTAAGAAAAGGGAGGAAATGCAAAACAAATATATAAATAGAAATATATTTAATTGCCCCTGTATCCTGATACAATATGGTATTGTTTGGTTCTTGCAAATGCATTCCCTTGTTTGCATCAATAGTTACCAACGTTAGTGGCCCCCGCATCGATGCTGTTCTCCACCAGCTCTTTGACAGCGGTGGCCAAAGTCAGCACCACCTGTCCTGAGCAGATCTGATGCACCGAGTGCTTGTCAATGGCCTTGATGGCTTTAGCAGGTTCAGAGCTGCTGAGAAGAAAATAAGCAGGCAACGCAATAACTTTATATTCATATCGCAGAAAACAAATATTAGAAACAACTGGATAGAAAAGAGTATGTAAGCATCTCCTCAAACTCAGTGTGATCTGGTCTATGATAAGTACATGATTACAGTGGAAATGTCAGGCACCAAGGAAGTTCTGCCAAAGTAAATACCAGCTGGAGAAATTGTGTCTAAGCAGATTGAGTGGACTTAAGACACTGCAATAAACAATTACATCAAATGCATTTTAAGGTAGAGTGACGTTACGTTAATGACCAATGAAAAGGTGTGTGCCTACATTGTAACCAGACTGTATAACATTTAAATGTGCATAGTGTGTGTAAGGTCCACAATCTGAAAATACAAGTTCATTTTGACAGCATTCAAATGTTATTGTTCAGAATGTTTAACTCAGTGTTAAACTTGACTAGAGAATAACAAACACGTATGTTTTAAATGTAAAGGCTCAAACTTTCTGAAGGAATGCCACTACAGTGTGAAAAACAAACATTTGCAGGCAAGCTGAATAAATACCTTGGCAGCTAACTTACCAAGCATCAGACATCTTCAAGGGCCGAAAGGCAACACGAGGAATTCATTCAGGTTTTGTCAGTGAAATAAAAATAACTTTTAAACAGAGTCGGGCTTTTAAACCAGCTAACACGTAGCCGTTCATGCACATGGACAAGTTTGTATTAACCTGGTGGTAAGTAACAACATTTAGGTGCAACCGCTTCACAACATCACGTTAGGATTTGTAAACACAATGTGCACAAGTACCGCGCGAGGACGCAGACTGTTCTCAAACACCACTGTTGCGCGAAACTGCGCAGTCTGACTAATAAAGATACCGATATAAACTGTTGAGACCGTAAAAGAGTAACCACACTAAACACACACAAAATACATGAGTGATAAAAACACAAACAAATAAAATTGCTACACGTAAAAAAGTAGGGTTAAAGTGTTGCCTAAATCGTCATAGTGTTACATCTTGACCATGGAGAGGTTAGGGCGCATGTGCAGTTGTCTTGTAGTGAACAAAACGTACACTTCACTCTTTGTTTTATGGTCTTTTTTACAATTTGCGATTAAACAGTTAAATTTGCATTGCGACACGTGTTGTCTAACTTGTGTTGATTTTATGAATCGTCAAACCATTTTTCTTTTGTGTTGATCAGGTGAAGTCAAACACCAACATTGTTTGACGGTCCCTAACTTTTTTTTTTTTTTTACTGCTGCTGGTAATGCTGCATTCAGGTGATGTCGGACACATTGGAAAAACGAGTTTCCGAGTTGTAAAATGCACATGAACACCTGCTCAAGTCGGAACAACAACTCGGAAACTCGGAAAAGAATTAGGTGCCCGACTTCCCGACCTGACGTCATAACCGTCATCAAATGGGGTCCAAAATATGTTTTGTTAATGCTAACATACTTTTAATTAATTCAGTTTTGCTCAAATATAACTTTTAACAGTAACATTTCCCTGATCTTCTTCTTCGTACCTTTAACGCTTTTTTGTGCTATTGTTACAACATTCAGACTTTCTGAACTGAAATCACATGAACACACTGAAGTTGGAAGAACGACTTCCCAACTCGGAAACTTGGACCACCCGAGCAGCACTTGAATGCAACATTAGGCATGGCCGTTCGTTGTCACTGACACACCATATGGACTTGTGAGCTTTCTTTGGACATTTTTAGGACTACGTAAACTCGTCAGAAACTGGGATTTAACGTGAGGCTCGACGCTTCACTTGCTGATATGGGTTAGCTGTTGTGATTTTGGTCACGTTTTTAAAAAAGCACTTAGTTTTGTCTAGTCATTATTTTTCCCCCCCACACTAAAAATGTACAGTTCAACATCGACCAAGGGACGTGAGCTGTTGGAGGACTGTTCTGGAAGTGGCAGTAACCTTTTGCTTCACCGAAACATCAACTCCATCAGTAGACACGAGGTTGAGACGAACATAAGTCTGTTTAGTTTGGCAAGCGAAGAGGATGATGATGATGAAGTCCAGTTTGACAGTAAGCAGCTTGTCTTCTTGTTCCATTATTGGTGCGTTCCTGTTCATCTCCTAAGTGGGAAATTCCAGCTATTGAGTTGAATCTGGTGGCGAGTGTCCGATCTGCCACAAGGACACAAGTATGGTCTGATTCTTGGGTTGTCTTTCTTTAGAAACTGACAAGGGCGTACTTAAGGAATCATTTAGGGTGTCCCTACCCCTCTTCTATACCCACCTGACCCTAACTCTTTATTATTAAAATATATTATGTCAAAAGTAAAAAGTACTTTGTTAGGCGCATATAAAACATGAACTGTCATACATTATTTAGAAACAAAATGAAACAGTGTCAAAATATAGAATTATAATGTGGACAGCTGACAAATATCAAGATAAAAATAATGAACAAACTCTTGGAAAGGCAAATAATGTCAGTGTTTCAGACCAGTATCTCCCTGTGTCCATTTTCTGAAATGTTTTAACAATAAAAGAAATTCAAATTTTCTTAATATCTATAAAAGGTAATTTATTCATTTTTATTCAACATTTTTCCAAATCAATGTAATCTATAACTTTATTATGTTTATTTTATTCTTGGATTTAGTTGGCATTGCAGCGTCCAGAATCTTAAAAAGTGAGATCAAGTTTATCCGGCCAGTAAAGTGTTAGTTTGAGCAACAAATGACATTTTTATTCACTTTTAGCCTTTCACTCTTTGGACAGTCTTTCATTTTATACAAGCCATGATATTGCCTTTTTTTTGTTGCACAAACTGCAGACTATAAACCTCCATCGATTTCAACTTTATAGAATCATCTTAGAACATGCAATCAACCTCTCAAATCAAGACACAAACTGCCTGACCTGATACCACAAAATTAAAATAAGAAGAAGGGTTTAGCTCTTTAGCTATTTCTTCCCATACAGCCCAACCCTGATCAACAGGCTTAAATGAGTACTCCAGCAATTTGATATTGTGCAAAGAGAAGGAGGACCTGACTAAAAATAGCTTAGTCAAAAGTCAAGCAGCAGATGCTGGGATATCCCCATCAAAGTTCACAATGCTTTAAAATTAAAGGTGTCTTTAATTAGACCATTCCTGCCTGTTAAATGCAGCTATCGTTCAGATTATATGGTCACAGTTTATAACACAGGGTTAGTGTCAGGGTTTTTCCACAGTGACATTTTCAAGGTGGTTGTCTCAGAATTTACTGCTGACCTTATATAGCAGGTTTTACAGCCAGAGTAGTGTAGCTGTGATGGGTAAACCGAAGGTCAAGTAAGGTCAAGTGTAGTCTCCCCTTATTCCTTTATTATTAATATGCTAATAAGCTTGCACGGTCTGGTGACGTCACAGGGATCTCCACCAGTGAATTAATTCCTGGCTCCAAACATGTCAGGACTTGCCCCTGCACTCATCCTGCTGTAAGATGAAGTGAGAGTGAAGGAGTATCAGGCGGCTGCCTCCTTCCCATTCTTACACAGTGACCGGGTGCCTCAGCCTGCTTTTATGTTTACAGAGCTCAGTAGGTGTAGGAGGCTGGTGTCCGCTGGAACAGGCAGATAAGCATTACTTCTGCACACGCCCCTCATGTATAAGCAAGATCAGTTTTTGACTTGGGGGAGACGAGGACAATCATTAGTACAGCTTTGAGACCACAAGTGTTTTTGTTTCCAAAAATGGATCTAGTTGACAAAAAGATTGTTGAAATGATAGCAAAGGTTATTGAAGAAGGTAAGACTAACGAGAGGAAATGTTGTTTCCATTTGTTTCTCATTTAGAAGTTGAAATCATCTGAACTCATGTTTTGTGCTGCGATCTTGCTTTCAAGTGTTCTCAGGGGATTTTTCATTCTAACAATGTCACAGAAACAAAATGGACAAAACAGGGAACTCTTAACCACAGCTTCCTCCTTCTCTTGTTTCGTTTGGATGCTCAGCTTCAGACACAGATGATAATGGGGAGGTGATAATGGCCGGTAGACATTATCCATCCATTCAGGATTTTGCTTCAGCGATCCCCAACCACCTTCTCCTGGGGTCTCTGCTGGAGCACCTGTGCTACGTCTACGAGAGCAACCCAGCTCGCTCACGCATGCTGTTTACAGGTATGTACTGAGACGTGGTATTTCACAAATAGTATAAAACACTCTGTCATTAATTTAGGCTGCTTGAACATTTAGAAATAGAAATAATTGTTGTTTTTAGATTCAAATTCCAGGTTAGGTCACACACCCCAATTTACAGGGGGCTTAATCCTCCAAGAGGGCAGCCTGGGATCAAATCTGTCACACCCCCCCCCCCCCCCCCATGTCCTACTCTTTTCTTCTCTCCTTTCAAAATAAAGACAGAAGCCAAAAAGTAAATCTTGATTCAAATTCAAGTTTAAAATGATTTTGTCGTCCCCCTGGCAGTCATTGGTCAGCAGTTAGCAGCCATGAACCTCCTCTCACCTTTGGCCATCAGCGATGAGTTCAGCACGGTCAGACTGCAGCACAACCGAGCGTTCACGGAGCTGCTCCACGCTGCCAGCTCCACACTGTATCCACAGGTAACACTTTGAGTGTGTTATGAAGTCTTTACTTTATTATATTTTTGGGTAACTATAGCAAGGGCAAACATTTAAGTATAATCCCCCGAACTTCAAGGCTACCCCTGGATCTGCCTTGCTGTCTTGTGTATGCTAGTATGCAACATAGGGCTGGGAAATATATCAAGTTTTTAAGATATATTGATATATTTTCAAACAAGCTATAGAGTAAGACAATATATTTAATATGGATATAGTTTCAGTTGCATTAAAATAAGGTTATAGAGGTGCCAGGTCACCTTTTTCTCATCTCACTGATGATGACTGACTGTCTGTCCCTCTTCACCCTGCTCCTCCTCTCTCTCTCTTTTATTGTATTTAAGGAACATTTTATTTTATAATATTACTTTTTCAATTCACAAACAGGTAGTTTATTTTTCATGTGTTTTCACTGTTAATAAAATACATATCGATATATATCGAGTATCGCCATTCAGCTAAACAATATGGAGATATGAGTTTTGGTCCATATCGCCCAGCCCTAATGCAACAGTGAGTGATGTCAAGTCAGGGGTATGCTAATATCAAATTCTTAAAGGTGTGAACTGGCCATTTTTTCCTCAAATATATCCTGTTCTTTTAATTCATTTATTACATTTCGGCTTATTTTATTGCCAAGTGGTGCCAGGGAAATAATACAAAATTGGCTTTGAAATTGCTAAAATAATCTTCCCCCATTATTGACTTTGTGAACTGCGGGATCTATAATAATTTGTGTTTAAAGTTTTGTTTGTGTTTTTCCTCATGTCATGTTGCAGGGCCAACAACGTCTCAGCCCAAACACACACAATCTGACCATAAAGTAGGTTGAACTCTCATATTGTTGTTTTTTTCTGCTATTAGTTGCTACACACACATTTTTAGGTATGTTTGAGTGATGATTAAGATTTCTGTTTTCTTTTTTTGGCCTCCCCACAGACAGAAGGATGGACTGTTCCAGGCACAGACGTCCAGGTACCTTGGAGAATTTGAAGAAACATGTAGGCTTGGAAAAGGATCCTATGGGAACGTTTTTAAGGTATTTCAACTCCTTGTACTCCATACTTCAGTTTCAGAATCAGAAATACTTTATTAATCCCAGAGGGAAATTCATTTGTTACAGTTGCTCCAAAATATACAGTATAGCAGTAGAAATATAGTAATAAAAATATTAATCAAATAGAATAGGAATGTAAGTAAGATTTCAATAATATTTACAAGAAATATTTACAGGAATAAGAGTCAGATTGAATATATGCACACATTTTCAAGATAATTGCACTGTTTGTTTTAATATTGCACTTTATTATCATGGACATATTATTCATTATTATTATATTGCAGTTTTAATAAATAATGAGTTATGGTGGAGGTTACAGTTTTAATAACCTCCATATAGTAGAATATGAAGTCAGTATATGAAAACAGTGTGTTTTCATGTTGTAGGTCATGAACAAACTGGATGGACAGTTTTACGCTGTGAAGAAAATCCTCATCAAAAAAGTCTCAAAGGAAGACTGCATGAAGGTGGGACATAAGTGCTTCATCAATAATCACTTTAAACACTGAACAGAGAACCAAAAAACTGATAATCAGAGTAATGTGCTCCAGGTCCTGAGGGAAGTCAAAGTGTTGTCCAGCCTGCAGCACGTCAACGTTGTGGGTTATCACACTGCGTGGATGGAGCACGTTCAGCCTGCAACATGTGAGTATTTAACCGCTTTCCTAGACTGAGTAAAGCTCTACTGTTCTGGTTTGAACAAAGTCACTGACTGTTTCCATCAGAAGAAATGCTTTATGTTCAAATCATCTCTGTCACAGCTCCTGAGTCTCACCTGCCAGCACTAGAATCTCCAGAGAATCCAGACAGGTAGGATCCAGCACCAACTGATCTCACGTTTATTCTTTAGGATTTTAATTCATCAGAGAAAATAAAATCCAAAGGTTGAAAAGGTATAGCACATCAATAATCAAATAATTTATCAGTTAACATTATTTGTCCGATATCAGTATCTGTATATGAATCACAGAGATAGGACGGGTAAGATTTATTTTGTTTGTTTGTTTGTTTACGTTCCTAAGTGGGTTACAAAATTAATGATATTAAAAGTTGACCCTTTTATATTAGACTGTTGAACTTAGATTTTTCTAAAGTACCTCAAAATAAAAAAAACTATGAAGATTGATCTGAACCCTTGTACTTAATATTTAAAAAGGATCAATAAACAATAATATAGACAACTGAGGATCAAATACGAGAATTGATGTGCAGTTAAGATTCACAGTGACAGTTGAGTGGAAAAGTAATTAATTTTAACCTTTTATTTTTTATTTTTTTATTTTTGCTGACCTGAATGATAACAATCCGATCTACGATTTAAAAACTGTGATATAATCTAAAAATTATGTTTCTTTTTTTCAGTTGAATCCTAATGATTAACATTTTTCCAAAATACTCCAATATGACATATCGGACAGGTCATACTACGCAGAAAACAATGCTCTTTTTTACTCTCAGCACTGTCTGCAGCACATTTAGCACTAATAATGATCCACAGCATATAAAAGTTTTGAGTAAAAGTCATTTGTTTAAGAAAGAAGACTTTTGCATGATTCTAAGTCGTGCCTTTGAAAAAAATGTACGTGTTTTGAACTGATATCTTTTCATTGCAGTAATTAAATTATCAGCCAACATATCAGCAACTGTTGAATTTCACTTTAAAAATGTTGTTGTTTTTGTCTGACTCCATTAGACAATCAATGATATCTATCTCATCTTTTTTCATTTGCAGTTCTAATGAGAGCGCTGACAGCAGAGACAGCTACTCTATCGTTTTCCAAAGCCTCAGTCAGGCACAGACGGAGGCTGTCCCGAGTGCCAAAGGACCCCTGAAGGAGACCCTGACAGCCAAAGCTTTAGAGAAGGGACAGGTGGTGTGCCCCAAGACAATGCGCCGCATCCCAGAGAACTACGTCCCCTGTGTGTTCTTGGGACAGCAAGGACCAATGAACGCCCCCAGATGTCCCGCCACTGACTTGGACAGTTCAGCCCTGCTGGAGGAGGACTTCAGCGTGAGCAGCATCGAACTGAACAACAACTCCTGCATGGAGAAGGAACAACCACAGCAAGCTAACAAACGCACAACAAAGCCTTCCAAAGAGGTAGCTCGGATCGACTTCAGGAAACATATAAAAAAATATCTATTTTTTTAAGATTGTCATGCTTCATATCATCCTTGAAGTGTGTTTGTTTAAAAATGAGTTTTGATTTTGCTGCATCTGCAGGCACAGTTCCAGCTGATGCTCTACATCCAGATGCAGCTGTGTGAGCGCTCACTGAAGGACTGGATCTCTGAAAGGAACAACAAGCCTCTCCCAGAACAAACCTCAAGAAGTAATTCTTTAACACTCTACTTCACAATATTGTAATCATATTATAACGCTTCATCACAGATTGTATTTAAAAAAAAAAAGAGGCACAACTTTTGATTGCTTAAGGATTTTCTAGCATGTGCAAATAAATGCTAATGTCATAGAATGAAGTGAACTTTATACCAAGAACACTTTTGATAAAGAAATGTATAAATAAATGTATACTAAATATATGAAACATTAATGCTTTCAGCTCCATATGGGTGTGTGGATGCTGAACACACACTCAGCCTGCTGAGGAGGATACTTGAAGGAGTGGAGTACATTCACTACAAAGGAATCATGCACAGAGACCTGAAGGTAAAGTGCTGTGCTCCATTTTATTTCATCAACTTGTGTTTGCAATGTTTTCAAGGCTCAGCAAATTCAACGTGTCCATGAAACAAACCTCAACGGTGATTAAATGAGTTCCCTTTCACCATCAGTCTCCAAAGGAAATGTGTAAATTCTCCCAGACGTTGAACACAAAGTCGTAAAGTTTCACAGGCAGAATTGTCCTCGCCTCATCTCTTTCACTTTGAACATGTCGTAGATAAATAGAACACTTGCAGATATCTTGAAGCCTCCTCGGCTGCTGAGTGAGACTAAGTAGCTGGCCTCTCTGTTTGAGGAAACATGGTAGGGTCAGGGTGTCGGGCAGGAGGCCGCTGTGGTTGTAGATGGTGAGCGGGGACGTCAGACTGAGGAGTTTCGCCAGCAGAGATCGCTTCCGAACGTTCCGCCTGTGGTTCAGGAACAGGAACAGACAGTTCTCCCCGGCGTTACTCAGCTGGTTGATGTCGGCTCCGTGTTCGAGCAGGAGGTCCACCAGCTCCTTGTTGCCCATGCTGCAGGCCTCCTGTAAGGGCGTGACACCAGCTTTGTTGACTGCATTGACCTCTGACCCCTGCTTAAGCAGCTCAGAGACGCATCGGATGTTTTCCTCCAGGGCTTTACTGCTCTTCAGAGACACTGACATGGCAGCGAGGTGCAGAGGAGTGTTCCCTGAGTGCTTCACCCCCTAGAAAGAGTCAAGGATTTACATTTGTTCAGAGTAGGGCACATATATAGAACCTAATGCACACTTTAAGAGGCTGTGGAGTGACGGCAACTTTATGAATAATTTCAACATTATTGAAGCACAAATTGCCTCTTCAAATTGAGACCTACGCTGTTGTTGATTTGCTCGCAATTTAACGACTTACGGGCTTAAATAAGTCACCTTTTAAAGTCTGTACTTGGGCACGTTTCTTGAATTCAGTATTCTTATTTTTGCTTTATATTTGACTGAATTATAATGATTGAATATTTGATCTCCTAATCCTTTTCTTGGTCAGAATAAACACCTTCAAATACAAACCCTTTTTATGACAGACACTCAACGTTCTATCACAGATTTTACCAATCACATGAACAATGATCCAATAGGCTTTTGAATGCAGTCGCTATTCTTAATATCAACTGTGCTTTTACTTGTGTTGTAGTACTCAAAATTGGTCTTGACCACTTTTTGAAGGTTCTGTCCTCGGAATCTAAAGCGTTTTTACCCAGTCTTGTCTTGGTGTCCAACTGGGCGGACTCAGGATTTCAAATCAAGACCACCACTGATTGGCTATTTTCCATGTCATGACTGGTTAATAAGTGACATGTCTGCTGCACACAAGATGAAGATTTTTCATGAATATTTATGGTCTTGGTCTTGTCTCAGTCTTGACCTGCCTTGGTCTTGGTCTTGACTCGGTCTCGGAGCACTCTGGTCTCGAGTATGTCTTGGTCTTGGTTAGTGTGGTCTTGACTTCAACACTAGCGTTTACTTCTATTGGATGCACCAAAATGACTGCTGTAAGCATTTCTTCTCTTTGTTTTTTTCTGCTTCATATTTAAAGTTTGAGCAAAGATTGAAAAAGTGCCAGCCACTATAAGAGAGAAGTAGCACAAACCGCGTTTAAATCTGCTCCCTCCTTGATCAAGCTTGCTATGAGGTCCTGATGCAGCATCCCGGCAGCCATATGCAGGGCTGTCATCCCAGAGCTGTCCACAGCATTCACATTAGCACCGTGGACGGACAGAATCTGGGCAGCAGACTGTGCAGCGTAGCGTACTGACAGGTGGAGAGCCGTTTGGTGACTCTCTCCCTCCACCTAGCGAGGAGCCACAAGAAACACACACCTGAGGCAAAACACTTCAAAAAGATTAAATGAGATATTTTTATTAACTGTGCATTTTCAATTTACGGGATAGAAGCTGTGCAGAAAGATGCAAAGGTGTGTTTAATAGAGACAGTTTTACCTCTGCATTGACGTCAACGCCATGCTCACAGAGGAGCTGCAGACAGGCCTCTGCCTGCCTCCGAGCGCTGATTACAGCAGTCAGGAATTTAGATTGTCGTTTCGACAAACCAGTAGGAATGCTTGGCCAGCTGGCTATCACCAAGTGTAGAGTGGTTCGACCCTGCTGGTCCCTGTAAGGTGGGGAAAGTGAAAGAGGTGACAATGTGTTAATTTCGGACCCTGCCTGCACGTGCTTGCAGTACCAGGATGTTGTCCAATCATAAACATTTAAATCAGGCTCTCACTCACTTCATGTATTATCTAAACTACTACAGCCAAAATGAGGTTATGTGTAGAGATCCAGCTGCTTTTTATACTTCATAAGGAGGAAGTAACCTCATGTAACTCATCAGTATTGACAGGTGTAATGTTTTGAGGTTTATGGTGGTAGGGTGTGTGTTTGTCTTGACCTCATTTCAGGGTCCGCCCCTGCAGAGAGCAGCCTCTGCATGCTCTTTACTCTTCTGTAAGAGGCAGCCAGGTGAAGAGGGAAGATAGCAAAGCCCTAGAGCAAGACAAGACATAACAAGAACAACTAGAAAACTGTAATATGCAAATAGTGAGTAATCTCATAGTCCAGGAATTTCTCTAAGCTTTAAAAGATCACTCTGTTGCATCTCTTGGCTATCATTACCTATATGCATGATCATTTTGATTTAATTCCATGAGACTTGAAGATGCATACATTCATCTGATATGTTGATGTATAGTTAAACTTTTAAAAATCCTTCAGATATTTTTCTTATTCCTTAAAAAGGAGAATGCATTACCTTCCAGAAAACTTCTCCAGGTGCACCCTGTTGCATCTGGATGAGAGTGTTGCTCCCATACTCTCTTGACATGCCCTCTATACGTCCCAAGTCTTCATCCATAATGGCGTTATAGAATTCATCGTTGTGAAACTTGACAGGGTTAGCTCTGCCATCGTCATGTTCCTCTTTCCCCATCAGCATGACTAGCTGCACAGCTGTCTGTGCTCAAGCTTCCTGAAGCTCTGTGGTGGTTGGATCTTGTTCTTCTGGTTTGCCGAAGCAAGAACTCATGATGGCTGTAAATTAGGCGGTGCAAGGGCAACAATACGAATGTATTTGAGCTACCGTTGTTTCCTGTGGTTGGTTGTTTCGTTAACTACTTCCGTTTACCATGTTGGGTGTTGACTTTGCCATGTTGCTGTGAGAGTAAGTTTGATGCAGAGCCTTCCTGTTAAAAACTGATAACTTCTTTTTGTTTGGGGCCTATTATGGGAACTGGTGACGTCCCTCTTAGTCATTTACAGGTTGATGCTGTGTTCAATATTTTAGTGTTAGTTAAGCAGATATATAACTTTGCAAACATGTATAGCCTACTAATCTTTTTTTTTAATGCAGTCAGAAAGGTTGAAATATTTACATTTTATTTGACGACAATTTTGTCACCAATCCGCTGGATTTGTTTTTGTCATCTCTACCTGTGTAATAGCTTCATCCAGTATTTTATGAAAAAAAATACATTTATTCAACTTCCCTGTAGGAGCCAAGTTACATTCATACATATTAAAGTAAATAAATAAGCAGTGTAATTTTGGGTTGAAAGTTAATCTTTATTTTAGGGATTTCATTGTATAAGTTAAGTTATAAAATGTATTAAAAGTCAGCTAAAGGTAATTTGATTTAATTCATGTGGATTTTCTGTAAAGTTAAAAGCAGTATGGTATTGCTGTTAGAGCAGTGAGGTAGGTTACTGTCCCTTTAAGAGAGAGAGAGAGCTCTTTAGTGCTGTGGGAGGGTTAGACTGGTTTCAGGCAGTTGGGGATCAATTAAGGACCAAGCCACATGGTTTCTTTACCTTAGTATATTTAATTGATTAGGATAACTTGACTTTGAATCATCCAGTAAGATTGTTTAACAAAACTGTGGAATAAAGGAATTTGTTTGATCAGTTTTACTTCGGAGTCCTGTGGAAGTTTGTTCCTCTTAAAGTGAACATAGACGAGTAAATCCAAGGCCATTTGATCTTCAACCCACCACATTCCCATAGAAGCTTTTAAGGCAAAACTAATTTAAGTTTAGAATCTAATTTTAGGGTGAAAGCCTTAAATTGTTGCATTCTGCTTTTAATACTTTGCAAATGTAAAAACACAATTGTGTGTGCAAAAACATAATACATGTTCATAACAAACAGATGTTACTATATATTTACAATATGACATAATGTTTTTTGTTTTTTTCACAGCCCAGGAACATTTTCCTTCATGGCCATGACTGCCATGTTCGGATAGGGGACTTTGGTTTGGCCTGCAGCAATATGATAGTGGACGGCCATAAAAGCACCACCTCTCTCAGAAGTGGTAAGACTGCATCTCTTAATGTGTTATAGTGCATGGCAAATAATCACCAATAGAGGGAGCCGTTTGCTTAAAAGTCACTTTTTCCCCCCCAGATTCTTCCCATACTACAGGTGTTGGCACATTTGTTTACGCTGCACCAGAACAACTGAATGGCTCACATTATGACTCAAAGGTAAACACGTTCATTTTATTATTTTACAACTTCATTGGTGTCTCTTATGTAACATTTTATGAAGGCTAAACATATATTTGTACGGTTGTTCTCTACCAGTCGGACATGTACAGCATTGGGGTGCTGGCTCTGGAGCTATTTCAGCCATTTGGGACAGAGATGGAGAGGGTCCAGACCCTTAAGGACCTGAGTGAGGGGAAAATCCCTGACTCTTTCAGCCAAAGATGGCCACTCCTGACTAAGTACATCCTTAACCTGACGAGTAAAGAGCCCAGTGTTCGTCCAACGGCCAGCCAGCTTCTACAGAGTGAACTCTTCTGCAGTAAAGACATAGTATGTTGTCTCTGGATCTGTTTTACCTTTGAATTGAATTTAACACTCTGATGTCTTTTTGTGCTATCAAAGGTATAATATGCAACATTTTAAACATTAATTTAGCGGATATCAAATATTTATTATATATAATACGTGTATCATTGCGTAATGACTTTCTGAAAACAGAGTGAATTCAAACTCCCTCTGGGTTTGTTGTTCTCAGCCCTGTGTTCATACCGATGGGACGGCGCTTCCTTCAGCTTGTTTATATTTCACTTAGAGGTTCAGACATATTTCATTCATGCTTTTTAAACGTGAACCTCTCCCTGTCCAGCTGTTCATCCTGCCACAATGGTGGGGGAACAGAGACCGCCCAGTCAAATATAGGATACTGTAAGTAGAGGCATCATGTCAGAGTGTAGTCACAAGACTAGGACTGAAGGAGAACCAACAATCTTTCCAAACCATAGAAAATATTTTTTTTCTGGTCTATGGCTGCAGTATCAGAATGGAGATCAGACCTTCAGACAGCTGCACTAAGAGAGGGCCGGGCGAGGAGGGATGGTGCGGTCAGGGAGTATTGTTTTGGTCTGAAGTTGCATATTGTACCCGTAAAATCAAAAACATATAAGTATAAGGAATAATAAAATAATACGAGTATAATGTTTTTTGACCTAAAAAATGGGTTTTAACTATTCAGGAGTATTTTTTATGTGCAGCCTTTGTTTTCCTGTATGTATAACCATACCCTGTGTTATAATATTGTAATTGCAAAATATTTAAACAATACCCCCTTCCCGTCTCAGGTGATCCATGGTTTGCAGAAAAAGGTTGAAGAGCAGGAGGAAGAGATCATGCTGCTGAGGAGACAGATCAGTCGACTTCAGAGTTCACAAGTCACAGTACATTTCTCTGAACTGGACAACACCTGAGACTTCATCATCTCAACCAACAAAGACTGACAAAACTTGATTTCTTAATCACTGCTGTACTGTTTTGTTCACAGGCACAAGTGGTTTAGAGAGTGTGTGTGTGTAAGTATTTGAGTGTGTGTCTTGTGAATGATGTACAGGTGCAATTATTTATCCTCATTTAGCTGTTGAATTAAACCTATTTCTGCCATGACTTGTGAAAAAGCAGTTGTTTTATTTTAAGATTTGAGGTTACTTAACAGGGTTAATACACTTTTCTTATTTCAATTTGAAAATCTGACTTACCAAGCTAACAATGTGTACTTCAATTATGTGCAGCTTCTTGATCCATTTTGTTTATAGAAGTGGCAAGCAATTCTGGACTCAATACTTTTTTGAATAAGGACATTGACATATTCATTCATTCACAGATGTTCAATGTGGTTGAATGAATAATGTACCTGTCACAGGGAAACAATCATATTTTGATAACTTTCAAGAGTGGAATTACAATGGAAACTATGTAATCTCCTTATAAATAGGAAGGCTATTTCAGCAAAGGATATTCTGTTCGCACGTCATAGTTAAGCCCAAAATAATGATAAATAATAGTGTCTTTGGCTACTCTCCACGGAATTATTTGTATAAAACGCTCCATATTGGTGTACATCATTTACACAAAGGTCAGAAGTGTACATGCGACGGATCTCCCCGAAACACGTTCCTCTCAGAGAAGCGGCCGAATGAACCAATCAGAGACCTTGTTTCATCGTAGGTACCCGGATGTACCCGTGGAGCAATTAGCTACGTCATTGTTCACCGCCGGACACCCGCTGGAAATAAGGAATGGATTTACAACTGCTATTAACGTATTCATAATAGATTTCAGGTGAGTGTACTGTTACTCTTACGACTAAGTAGCACTAAAACTGTGCCGCTGTGATATTTTTGGAGGCCTGTGCCGCCTAGGTTTGTTGTAGTAGCCTTACACCGGGTCTCTGTCATGTCGGAGAGCAGCGCAGTGAGCACACACAGTCACCGGTGTCGAGCCCCTCCTTTCTAAAGCTAGTTAGAGCCCCGTTTCTCGGGTCAAGACATTTAATTCACAGTAACGTCGTTGTGTAAACAACACACGGCTCTCTTTAGCGTGAAGAATAAACGGTTGTGTTGCTCTCCGCCGTGTCAGTCAGCTTCCATCGTGCGGAGCTAGCTTAGCATCTCTATGTTAGCTTGGTTCTGGAGCTATGTGTTACGTTCTCCGTTTCCATGGAGTCGGTGTCTGTGTTCCCGAATAGCTGGGTCATAACACATTCATTCTGTTCCCGTCTTCGACAAGAAATATTAACTTTCAATCGATGCTCCGTCATCTATGAGAGTAAACGAAGGTTTAATGTGAGTTTTAATGAGGTTTTGGCGGCACTGCGTGTTAAAGGCCTAGCTGCCGTCTGCTAGCCAATGTGAGCCAGTCTGCTGAGAGCAGGTGGGAGGGAACAGCTGTTGTTGTAAACGTGCTTCCGACCAGGCAGGACATTTCCTCTCAATCTGAACTGTTGCCGTCCACTTTATTACTTTAACAAGTGTTTTATGTTAGGTCACAGAAGTTGGTAGGTCTACACACTAGTTAAATCAAATGTTTTCCATTGCAAGTGTTTACCTGAAAGTAATCTCTTAATGGAGAACTTGCGTTGCCTATAATTCGCCAAGAGCATAGTTAATGTTGCTCCCGGATAGAATAGAATTACTTTATTGATCCCAAACAGGGAAATTGTGGCGTTACAGCAGCAGGTTGTCCAAACACACAATATGAGCAAAAAAACACAATATAATATTAAATACAAAGTAAATAAGCACTAAAAATATCAAAACTAAGATTGAGAATATATACAACCGGGATTTAATTTAGCATGACTAGTCTTAAATTGGAAGATTAAATATGGAAGATTAAAAGTAAATGTGCATGAGTGTAGACATATACAATATAACGGCGAGTAGACAGACAAATGAAGTCAACATGAGTGCAGGGATAATTTGTAAATTTAACATGCACAGAATAGGATATACGCATTTGTTGAATTAAATATGCTTTAACTCTGTGATAGACTCTGATATTACTCATTCAGTGTTACTTGGTAATTGATACGTTTGATGATGACCATAAATTCATTGCTCACGCAGAGTTTGGTACTGTATTTAAAAGCCTGCTGTGCTGTTGCTGGAAATAGTTTGATGTGTGGGGCATCACCGAGACAGTGTAGAAACTTCATCTCTACTCTTATTGCCTAGAATATAGTGCTGGGCGACATGACCTCAAATCAACATTACGATTAATTTAATATTTTACCTCGATTATGATTAATGAAGAATTATTTATTTTTTGTTTTTCTCCCACATAGTTCACTGACATGGTCTCTACTGTAAATATGCTCAACTATTAAAGCTGGGTTATTTTTTCTAATGAGAGTGCATATCTGATGAACTATTTTGTGGTTATGTGGTTAAGACACATTTGAGTTTAAACAGTAGAAAATAAAGACCTTGCATTTCTTGCAAACAGTTTTTCCGCAGTGTTAACATTTGACTTCTTTTTGTTTGGTGTCGTAATCGACATGGGCAAGATTACGTCAGTCAGAGGTTCTTAATATTGGGTTCGATTAATTGCCCAACCCTACTAGAAGAGTACTCTTGAAATGCATTGATTTATCTAAGTGGATAAGAAATGATTGCCTGTTTAGATCAAATTACAGTACTAGATCAGCATGTAGTTAAAAAGAACAATATATTCCCCTCAGTTGTGTGTAGGGATATTGATTCCCTGGCTTTTGCATTTAGTGCTTGTGATCTAAGTGTAATGCAATCTCAATTTGCTTTGGGTGATACGATATATTATATTATTATTAATAAAACATGCATAATTTAGTGTTTAGTTTTCTTATTCAAACTAACAGCAAAAACCACTTTACCACTGTATTAGAATGTAGCTTATCAAATCCAAGATTTTATAGATTTATGATCACCCACACACACTTGTCTACATCTAAAATAACAACAACAACATAACTTTGATTTTCCACATCCAGTGAACTAATATATTTGTGTATTTCTGCCTCCATACAGCAATGAACAATGACCATAGTTGACAGATCATCAGAGAAGTCTGACCACGAGTCAGTCGGGTGTAAGCGATCTCCCTTCACCAGTGGAGACGTGGGGATGGACGGCAGCTGTTCCAGCAGCTGGGCAGTGGGTCCCACCATGCCCAGTGACTCTCCGAGGCTAAAGGCTTCAGGAGGCTGCCTGGGCCCAATGCCTGGAGCTGCTGTTTACAACAGCACGCAATCCTCTGTGGAAAGATCTAAAGAGCAAGGTAAGAGCTGGGCTTTAATCAGTTGTGAGTTTAATGCACAGATTTGAAACTGAGATAAATCTGTAAAGGTATTGTTTTTCAGACTTGGCTATATTAAATTAGTAAAGTAGTCTTTAAAAAGATTATGTTGCTGCTAGTCCATATTCATTAAGGTGCCAATCTCTTGCAAGCAAATGGAGTTGTTGTTTTCCAGAAATGTTATTCATTATCGATGAAGCACTTAACTTATGAAGATGAACTTTATTATGCTATTTTTGTTTGAGAGAGTGACACAACTGGTTTTGTGGGTGTTGTTTTGTTGCTTCCGCTCCACTTTCGTTCATCCAGTTACATAACCAGGCCAGTTTTGAAGTGAGAGCATGATCAATCACTTCAGCTCGTGACGCATCAGTGTTTTGACATAAAGAGCAGCGGCCTTACGTTCGCAAAAACAAAAGAGAAAGCACATTTTGTTATCTCCTCTACTCCAGCTTGTTTCTGCTTCAGTAGTCTTTTTTTAATGGTTTGATATGAACAACTTACACTGGAAGATACTGATATTCCTTCACAATTTGTCAGTGTGATCACATATTGGCAATTTATACTTGTTGATGTCCTTGTCAAGGAAAATGGATTGACTGTAATTTTAATAATAACATTGGCTCTCTGTGTGCAGTGATAAGCTGTGATGACGGCATCGACTTGCCCCAGAAGGTCCTCTTCCCTGCAGAGCGGCTCCACCTAAAGTGGACCCAGGTTCACCGCATTGGTGCAGGACTGCAGAACATGGGGAACACCTGCTTCCTCAACTCAGCCCTACAGTGTCTCACCTACACGGCTCCATTTGCAAACTACATGCTGACTCGAGAGCACTCGAAAACATGTAAGTTGGGGTTTCGATGTGCCTCTTCATACCAAGGAAGGCCTTGTGCAACTGTGCAGTCATGCAGTTGTTTTTCTATCAATCTTTGTCACTTCAGCACTATCTATGAGCACTCTGTTTTTGTCTGAATATTGTCGAACTCAAGTTTTATCCATCTGTTTCCACCACAGGTCATGAGCCGGGGTTCTGTATGATGTGCACCATGCAAAACCACATCATTCAAGTTTTTGCCAACTCTGGGAATGTCATTAAGCCCATTGGTGTGCTCAATGAGCTCAAAAGTAAGTGATTCTAGAAAGCAAAATTACAGATGTAGTACCCTCTCAAAATTATTACTTGATAAGAGAGACAGGTGGTGCTGTTTGGCTGTTTACCTTTGTACTTTTGGAGGGAATTTTTAGTTGGGAGTTTGTGGTCTACTGCTAACGAGATAGATATGTAAATTCAACATTAACTTGCAAGTGTGATTCCATAAAATAACTTAATATAACTTACTGTGTTTTCCCCCACACAGGGATTGCAAAGCACTTCCGCTATGGAAGCCAGGAGGATGCCCATGAATTCCTGCGGTACACAGTGGATGCTATGCAAAAGTCCTGCTTACCTGGAACCAAGTAAGTTTAATTTATTTATAGAAACCTACACAGTGAGGATAACAAATCAATTGTGAGTTAACTTGTAGAGGTTGGTCATTTTTTGACATAATTAGAACATTTTCACTGCTCCCCTTGGGCTCCTGTAGTTCACATTCTCCCCCCTCTCGCCACCTTCCTACAGAGTGGCCCCAGATTTGTGCTACCAAGCCACAAGTACTTTACTGACGTTCCTCTGCCTTATCTGTACTTTTGCTGAGGAGGTGGTGGTACCTTTCTTATTAATTAAACAAATGAATGTACCATGTTCAAAATTATAATCAGCACAACATGATAGCTAATTTGTTCACTTCAACATTTAAAGCAAATATGTTGAATTAAATTAAGCCTGGGGG